ATTATTCACAACCAACTGGTATGACATAAAAGTTTGTATGCACCACGGGTACTAATAGATATATAAACCCTCGGGCCAGAGGCACTCGGCTTTGTAAGATTGTCGCCCTCAGGGCATAATCATCTACTTAATACCCTTGATACATAAATAACTATTGTAATTGAACGATTTCTTCAATAATATATCGCTTTGCATTTACTTAATTTTTATTTTTATATTTGAACGCGCTCGTAGAAAAAATAATGTTCCTTACTCATGCGGAAAGTGTCTTTCCCGCACTCGACTGCTTGCCCGAACTCCGCTTCGCGTCGTTCGGGTCAACGGCAGTCGCGTGCGGGAAAGTATCACTTTCCGCACTTGTTAGGAAAATAACTATTCTCAGGTTCCTTGGAGCAAAATTAAGCATTTAAACTAATTCATGGCGCTCTAGATTAAAAAGTAAAAATTTAAATAATCTGAAGATGAAATGTCAAAAAGTGACAAGTGAGGTGTCATTGTATTCGTAATGTAGTTTTCTATTGAAATAAGGAAAAATATACCTGGCGTCTCATTTAAAATCAGAAAGTTCTGGTCACTTCTGGTGGAACCGGAAGTAATAATAAATACATAATTGAATACGTCAAATAATGCACATCCATGTCATAAATAAACACACCAAATTTCATTAGTTTATTTGGAAAAATAAAAAAGATATAGGGGTGAGCGGGTTTTGAAAAACACCCGGTATACACTTGATTTTTCAATGTTTTGATGGTTTCTGGATAAACACAAAGAAGGGTTTTAGCTGAATTTAGTGCTTAGTTAATGTGACGTTTCCCATTAAAAGTATCCAAATTGGATCACCTTCTACAAATGGAAATTTGTGAAATATTGGGAATTTAAAAGAATTTCATAAAAGCATCTACTGCACTAACAATAGATATTTATTATACAAGACGGTAAAAAGATGCTTTAACTGTTAGTGGAAAATGTTGATTCACGAACAAAACAAGCATGTTACAAAAAAAATCTATAAATTGATAGCCGAGGCAACGAATCAGGGGAAAAAATGCAGCGAAGCCTTAAATATAGTTGACAATGATAACAAAACTTTTGAAAATGATCTAGATATGTCCAATTTCTGTAACAGATATTTTTCTAGGATAGCAATTGAAATGAGCGACCAAATTCCTCACATTGTAGAACAGTCTAGGCTAGCCTCAACAAGCAAATCAATGTTTCTCTCACCAGTGTCTAAAAATGAACTCATCCAACATATCAATAGTCTAAAGTCAAACAGTGCTCCAGGTTGTGACGCAATAACTGTAGAAACTATAAAAGAATTTCATAACTATTTACTGAAACCCCTTATGCATATATTCAATTTAATATACGAGACGGGTGTTGTGCCCTCACCACTTAAAAAATCAATTATTACCCCTATATACAAATCTGGAAAACACAATATCATAAGTAATTATAGACCAATAAGTTTAATTAATAATTTTGCGAAACTCTTTGAAAAAACTTTAAAACTCAGACTAGTTAGCTTCATCAAACTAAATAATCTAATGTCAAAAAATCAATTTGGGTTTACAGAGGGTCTTAGCACCAATGATGCAATGTGTTGTCTGATAAGAGAAGCCACAAATATAATTAATGAGAACAAAAAATGCCTGGTGGTGTTCCTGGACCTCGCGAAGGCTTTCGACACAGTTTCCCATAAAATACTTCTTGATGTTCTTGAACATAGTGGTGTTAGGGGAACTGTGTGGAGGGTGTTTGAGAGCTACTTGACTGGACGGCAGCAGCGGGTTAGAATACGCGACACAATCAGTGATCCACGAACAATAAATATAGGTGTTCCGCAAGGCACAGTTCTCGGGCCCATTTTGTTTAATCTTTACATTAACTCAATTAAGGACATTGGGATTGAGGGTGAGATTGTGTCATATGCGGATGACACGGCCATAATTTTCAATGGATCCTCTTGGGAAGAAGCTAGAATAAATGCAACAAATGGCCTTATAAAAATTAAAAGATGGCTTAATTAATATACACAAATTATCCCTTAATGTTAAAAAAACAAATTATTTGGCTCTTACTAAAGTTGATTTGAATCGCCCTCTTTTTAACCAAATAGAAATAGACGTAAACGAGAAAATTGAAGAGGTCACTCACGTTAAATACCTTGGGGTTATGATTGACTGTTACTTGAAGTGGAATGCTCATGCTGAATATCTGACTAAAAAAATTAGATCTCTGACTTATAGGTTCTATATTCTTAGAAATATTTTGTCATCAAACATGTTGGTCACACTGTATCGGAGTCTGGTGGAATCTTTGTTAGCATATGGTATCACGATCTGGGGTTCGATGTATGGAAATGCGCTGAGGCCGCTACAAATTGTTCAAAATAAAATTTTAAAAATAATTTATAAAAAAGATCATCTGTATCCCACAAATATGCTATATACTGAGGAAATAGTAAATTTGAGAACTCTATTCTTCCACTCAGTTAGTTGTTACATTCATAAACACCGCAAGATGCAGCCTATTGTGTTACATAATCAAAACACCCGCTTTCGCATAAATCAGCTTTTGAGGATTCCGGAATGTAAAAGCGAATTTTATAGACGCTCAATTGGTTTCATGGGTCCAAAGGTTTACAACCTATTACCCAATGAGGTGAAGAATGTTGTAAAACCAAAACTGTTTTCAAAAAGATCGAAGGCATTCGTTTGGACAAATCGGATTTTGTTTGAAAAACTGCTTTGATTTGATGACAATAACGTACATACTTAAATTCTCAGCATTCGAAAAATTTGTTTTCCCATGGAAATACTTAACATTTTTTTTTTTTTTTTTTTTTTTTTTTTTTTTTTTTTTTTTTTTTTTTTTTTTTTATTAAATAACAAATTACAATTTTTGTTTTTTTTCACATAATCTAAGGCACAAGTTAAGCTATGTACTTTGTTATTCGCTCCTAAACAGCTAAACGCTGGTAACGGAGCAAGATATAATTTGATTCAGACTACACAATATTCAGACTAATAAAACCTTAAAATTACCAAAGTTATACAGTAAAAAAACACTTATGTAAATAAAAACATTCGCAACAATCACATTTATTTGTACATTCATTTTGGCACCAAACTAATCTAATTTAGAATTTTTTTTTTAATTTTTTTTTGTTTTTTTTTTTTTATTATTATCATTTTCAATTATTTTTTTTTTTTTCAATTTATTCATCATTACTATTATTTATTTTTTTCAGAAATACATTTTTGTGTTTAAAAACTCCCTGAGTCTGTTCAAAAATATTTCAAATGTTGAAGCTTCTCTGACATGAATCGGTACATATATATATGAAGTAAGTTAGAAGCACATACAGATGCTCTGCATCTAGGTGCTGTTGTATATAAAACCATTTACCATTTAGATACCTAATATAATAAGTAGTATATTTGTATCGTAAATTTATACCTTAATAATAATAATAAAACGACAAGCGACGAAGGAGCGAGCAACTTTTTATTTATCACAATTACTAAAATCATAAACTAAAATGTGCTAAAAATTTACATAGATTATGACAAGTTGACAAAGTACCTAACAAACTGACACATTTCTGGTGTTGTCAAAATTGACGTATGAGTGGGTAAAATCACAGATTAACCCGTACTAAAGATAGGAAACTCGTGCCTTTTCCCCTATCCTTGTCTTACTGATACAACGAGTTGTATGACTGCCACAGCATGGGGGCGCTAGTGTGCACTTCAGTGTGTTCAGTGTTGTAGTCACGTGGTCTCCTGCCTTTTTTTAAATAATTTGTCCCTAATCGATTTTATTTTATTATTATTTGTAATTTTTTTTGAAATAAAACAACATTTTCGTACCGAGTTCTTTATTGGAACAGCCTTAAACACAACAATAATAGAAAAACGTATTTAAAAAAAAAACAATAAAAAGTTTATAATACTGCAAATAAAATTCACTAATTCCACAGTCAGCAAAGTCTCTGAGGATAAAGTGGTGATGGCATGAATTCAGAAGCTTCCACTGCAGTAATACCTATGCTATAAATGAAGGTATATTTTTAGGAATTTTGGTCTTATTTGGTGCACAAATCACACTTCATGTGAATGTCAAACAATGGCGAATAAAAACCATCACTAATCCCATTTCCAGGAGCATTTCCACTATGTTTGAATGTAACATAAAGTCTCTTTTTTTAAAAACATTTTAACGACTCAAAGTTTTATTAAAAATTGATAGGAAATTAAATAAATGAACACTAACACAGATCAAACGGCTAACTGATGAGAAACACAATTGACAAATTATATTCACCATTCACAGCTCACAGATGACATTTGCTTGTGGCTTTGTATACTAGCGCCGCATAGCTTTGGCAGTCATGAAGCTCCACACGTGTTATTTTCGAGACAGCTCATCTCTGGACAGCTCCGAACGAACATTTTACATGGAAGTTCCCTATCTTTAGGACGGGTTAATCTGTGGGTAAAATTGACAAATGAGTGGGTAAAAATTGTTCGATTTCACTACTTCGAATAAAGTGTTACTTTAACAACGAGTTTTGAGTCGTTTAAATGATAGTTTACCATTTGCGATAGAATAATATAAATTTGCTCAAGCAAAACATAGTTGTTTTACATTTTTTTACTTATCACAAAAAAACAAATTACTAAGGTAACAATAAATGCCATTTCCAGATAGTAATTTTAATATTTCGATGTACCGATTTATCAAATAAATAAATAGGTTCATTCATTTGCTAATAATACTTGTGGCGCAATTAATTTTATCACCTAAAATTATCAACTATTTATCATTGTTATTAGCCTGACTCAACATGACTTTAATTCCAGCAACAAGCAACACATTGTTTATTATCTTGGAATAATAGTGCAATCACACAACAATAATCTTTCTCCGAATTCAATAATTATTCTAACATATTATTATCTGTCGAATAAATATTTATTTTCTTTGTTTAGGTTGGCAAACTAAGACACTACGATTTGGGCCAGTACTTTCGGCAACGCTACTTGGACTTTCTACCAACAATTTATTCGGAAAAGGATATTTATGTTCGTTCTACAGACGTGGACCGTACCTTGATGTCTGCAGAAGCAAATTTAGCTGGGCTCTATCCTCCTGTCAATACTGACATATGGAAAACTGGTTTAGCCTGGCAACCGATACCAATACATTCCATCCCGGAAAAACTGGATGCTGTACTAGCCGCCAAGAAGCCTTGTAAAAAATACGATATTCTTTTAAAAAAACTATTCCAAAATGAATATTTTAGAAATGTCAGTCATGTCAATCGTGATTTATATGCATATTTAACTAAATACGCTGGTGAAAGTATTGACAACATAAGACACTTGGAATATTTGTATAATACTTTAACAATTGAGACGCTAAACAATTACACTTTGCCTAATTGGACCAAAACGGTTTTTCCAAGTAAAATGCAAAAATGGGCAGAATTGAGCTTCGCTACAGACACTTATACAACAGAGTTAGCTAGATTGAAAACAGGGCCTTTCTTTAACGAGCTCATAAAGTATTTTACCAATCGAACTGTTACCCCTAAAGGGGCTCGATACCATGCACCAAGGTTTGTTATTAATTCTGCTCATGATACAACCATAGCAAATTTACTTAACTCCATAGGGGCCTTTGAGTATCACTGCCCACCTTATACAGCTACCATTATTTTTGAATTGCATAAACCCACAGATAACACATCTTATATAAATATATTTTATAAAAATACCTCTGAAGCAGTACCAATTAAATTGCGCAATTGCGAAAATAATTGCGACTTAAAATGGTTTCAAAACATTCTAAGTCCGATATCACTGAATTTGGACCAATGGGAAACAGAGTGTAATAGTTTGATTCTATTTGATAATCCTTTGAATTTGTATATTTTATTGTGTGCCCTACTTGGTGCAATGGGCGGTATTATAGGGTTGATATTTATTGTGAGAAAAAACGCGCAGAAATCGAATGCTAGCATGTATACTCAGTTACCTGACGAAGAGTATGCTTAAAAATTTTGATATAAAAAGGCTGATTATTATTGTATGTTTTGGAAATTAAGTTTTTTTTTTTTTTTTGTAATTATGATTTTTTCAGCAAATACGTATTTGCAAATTTGGCTCACTAGTTTTAAATGCACACCTTACATTTTGTTACATTTGCTCAAATTTGGTGTTTTCAGCTTTTTATCTCTCAAAAATTTTTCGAGAGAGGTTCAAACTGAAAACGCCATTAGTCTTTTCTCTATAGGATGCCCCAGATAAAAATAAGGCGCAAATGAATGAAGAAAAAACAAATATTTGCACTATATACTAAGGTCATTTTGCCAATGTAATAGTATAATGATGAAAATTTATTTTTGTTAACCTTTTATACTATTTACACAGACAATTTTTTTGTTTTTCGTCTACTTTCATTAAATTTGCTCGTTTATCTTATCTTGGACAAACTTCAATATCTTTTTAGATTATTTTATGGTAATTAACTTTTGCATTTTTTTTTTGTATTTCAATTATCATGGAGTGTCGGCAAATGCTTTTCTTCTTTCCAAATTGAGTATATTATTTAATTTTTATGCTTTGTGGACACTCTAATAAGTGTAAATGTAGAATTAAGTATAGATTTGTACTTAAAGAGATTTAATATGAAAATAACCCTATTTATACAAACAATGTGAAGGATATATTTATTAAGGAATAAAAGACCAATGATATATTTAACAGCAACTGCTTCTGTTTCACTACTTTATTTATTTATTTATTTATTTATTTATGGACAGCAGTGCCACTTTGCAACAATGATAAAATTATAATTCAAACTTAATCTAATATGCGCATGCAAGAAGTGGAAAGAAAGGATAGCAATATATTCCAAAGTACATGAGTGTATGTAAGCAAACTATTCTTATGAAAAGTTTTAAGAATTGAGAGTTAAGCTAGGCTACACTGTTAACAGATTAGTTACAATCTAGCAAGGTTCAACTGTGACATGTGCACTCAAAAAGGTTAAAATAGACAGAAAAAATCAAGGGGCGGATGTTGATTTGCAAGAGACACGGATCTGGAAACAGGAATTTTGACAGTAGTTGGTGCGGTGATATGGTTGATAGAAGGTTGGGATGTTTCTCATATTAAAACGTGATACATACCGTAGTGTCGGTATACTTTGCCATCCAAGGTGACTTTGCCAGAGTTGACTTTTTTTTTTGTAAAAATATTTTGTGTAACTCCAATGGCAGAAACCTAGCGGAAGTTGTAGGAGCTATTAAAGAAAACGTGGTTAACTTGTTGCAAATAGTCAGACTTGCGATTGCTGCGCTATGGTGGTAGTGAACACGTGCTGCATATAAGCTAAGAATTTTCCGATTTTTAATTCTTAAAATAGTAAGACTTGTGACACCTATGAATACGATTAACCCAAAATAAATCCTATTGTCAAAATATACACTTCAATGGCTAATGATTGTGAAATTTTGAAGTATTAAAGAATAATGGTTTTTGAGATTTTAATTTATTTTGAAAAAAGTGTGACCTTGCAAGCCACTCGTAGGTGTCTTTGCCTTATATATTTCTTACCGATTTTGGTTTTTTAAATCAAAATATGGGTCGAATCTACAAAAAAAAAATAGGCAGCCGGCACTACAAAAACTATAATGAAGATACTGTAAAAGAAGCAGTGCGAAATATTTTAAGCAATGACTTAAGTGATTTTGATATTTTGATATTAAATCTTATTTTTTTTGTTCCCAACAATGAAAAAAATATATGGTACCTTTTTTAAAATCATATTTGAAGGCAAACTAACCCATATAATAGTCTTACATTTAGATTTAGGTGGTTTTAAACGCGTTGGCAAAGTGTCACCGATTTGCAGGAGACTTTGCCAGATTTTTAACAAAAAAAAATAAATAGAAGCAGTGCTTTCTAATTGTTTGTGTTTACAGGCATCTATAGCCAGAACATGGAATTTATACATAGTCTGTAGCCATTCAAATTGCTATATCGGTTAAAAAAATTTCAGAGAAAAGGTCTGAAAACCGTGGCAAAGTATACCGACACTACGGTACAGGGTGAGTTACATAGCGCGCGGTGGTCCATATCTCCTATACTAACGGAGATCGGAGAAAAAACTAAATACAAAACTTGTAGATAAACACGAGTATTATGCGCGTATTACATCTGTGTATTTTTCTGTGTATTTATTCATGTAGTTCAGGGTGACAACCAAAAAACTTCAATCGCAACATAAATCAACATTATGAAAAACAAAATAATGTTGGCACCCTGAACTACATGAATAAATACACGGAAAAATACACAGATGTAATACGGGTTTTACATTCCTAAATTATTTTCCAGTATACAGGGTGGCCCAATAACTAGTAGTCACATAAAGTTATGTTTTTTTAAATGACTCTCCCTGTATATTATGACATTTCTGGATTCTGCAAAAAATTCTAGACATATTTCATGTACAATGTCATATACCTATCTTTAACTGTTTCGGAAATATTGACAGTTGAAAACTGACTTTTTTGCATCTTTGACAGACTGTAAAACCTGAACGAGTAATTTCACCAGAAAACAGATTTTACATTCCTATCTTAGTTTTTCATAAACTATCATTTGGCACCAATTTTGAATTTAATCCATGATTAAAAATCCCGCCTAAATTATTAATCTTCGGTTAAATTCAAAGTTGGTGTCAAATGATAGCTTATGAAAATCTAAGATAGGAATGTAAAATCCATTTTTCTCTTAAATTAACCGTTTAGGTTTCACAGTCTGTCAAAGCTGCAAAAAAGTCAATTTTCAACTGTCAATATTTCCGAAACAGTTGAAGATAGGTATATGACATTATACATGAAATATTTCTAGAATTTTCCGAAGAATTCAGAAATGTCATAATATACAGGGAGAGTTATTTAAAAAAAATAAAACTTTGTGTCACTAATAGTTATTGGGCCACCCTGTATACTGAAAAATAATTTAGGAATGTAGTACTCATGTTTATCCACAAGTTTTGTCTTTAGTTTTTTCTCCGATCTCCGTTAGTATAGGAGATATGGACCACCGCGCGCTTAGTAACTCACCCTGTATAAGTCGATGCTGGAAGTGAGGTAAGGACAGTCAACAAGGGAGTTGAGAATTCCAAAAAGAAGGAGTATGTCATGAATACTTCGTCTTTCTTTGAAGTGTTGACATATTTAGCCTTTGACACATTTCTTCGTAGTTATATTCAGTGTCTCTAAAGAATTTGAAATGAATATGATGCATAAATTTCTTCTGCACTCGCTCCAAAAATAATTCCAAGATCCTTTATGTTTACAACTAATGATAATGTTGCATCATTAATAAGATAATGAAAATTAGTTTTAACTGTACGACGAGAAAATATCATGAGATTGCACTTAGAGACATTAACCTGCATACCATTTTATCACGACGCCAAGCCATAAATCTGTGGATATCCTGCTGCAAAGCAATGTAGTCGGTCGGTAGGATCAGATATTACTTTTTATCTACAAGCGTTTGGTTATGACGTTTTTACATAACCATTTTTTTAGTATTTGAGTTACGTCATGAGACTCATAACACAACTAGTGGTGTTATAGACTAGGTTATGAATTCATAACACAACTAGTGGTGTTATGGACGAGGTTATGAGTCTATAACACAACTATTTTTGGTGATTTGACAAAATGTCAAAGGTGAACCCGTAAAGGTAAAATGAAGGTAGACAACTATTAATGAACGAAAATGATTGGAGAAATATTCTTATTTTTCGCTATGTAGATAAAACGTTGTACATCACACGTGCGTTTAAACATGACTACAAAACTCGTGTGATTAGAACGACTCGGTCTACGCCCTCGTCGTTCTAATCCTTCACACTCGTTATTGTCTTGCTCATAAACGCACTTGTAATGTAAATAACTAATACATTTTTACATCGTCTGCAAACAGGAGGAACTTTGAAGACTGAAACCAGGGTGCAACATCCTTGATGAAGACATTAAAAAGAAATGGGACCCCAGACGGCACAGGAATTTCGTAGTTTTCTAGCGATAGAATACAAATCAGAGAGGAGAGGTGTAAAGACTACAGTAGTTACACTATTATACTTTAAAATGATAAAATTAACGAAACATTACACACTAAAACAATCAGGTTATACAAAAGTAAAAAGGTATAAAAACAGTACATCATGAAATTAACAATCATTGTTAGACAATACTACATTTTAAAATAATCAGGTACCGTAATTTGGGGTGAAGTCGGACGATTTTTGCAGTTTTTTGTTAATAAAATCTACAATTAGAAGAAAAAAAATCCTAAAAAAATAATTAACTCCTTTATCAAATTACTTACTAAAAGTAATGACATTTGTATCCCCCCCCTTTTTTTTTAGGTAAGTTGTGTGTCCGCCATCACCCCTATGTGTGGGGTAAAGGCGGATGACCATTAATTAAGCATAACAAAGTGTCTTAGCCCCTAGTACGGGGTGCAGTCGGACAGACAAAATAAAAAAAAAAAATATTTATAACAAAACAATAAAATTTTTAAAATTCTGACCACGTGCTCTACGGCGAATTTTTCCAGCAAAAATGCACCACTCTCAACTACACTCGAGCTAAACTAAGCGGAATATGTTGGTCGGTGGATTTTTTGGTTGTCTCGATACCCGATATCGTAAAAAACGCCGGCCAATACCTGTCTGTCCGAGTTCACCCCCACAGTGCGACTTCACCCCAAATGACGGTACATACATACACAAGCACTTTTAGAGGAACAATACTATAAATTTCAAAAATTATAATCACCATCAAAGGAACTCTTGTAAACTATAAAAGGCATTCTCAATAACTAGTTGCCTTATTCTAATTTTTAACAAAGGACCCCGCACAAAAAGATAGGAAAAGTGGTCCCGGTCAAATCGTCTGAAATTTTGATATGATATACTTCTCGTTATCCTGATTAAAAGCTGTCATGGGCGCAAAAAAATCTATCGAGTGGTTTCCGAGTTATTGGTCCTCAAAGACGTCATTTTGGATATAAAAGATGTCAAAGTTCAAAATTGTATATTGAATATTATCTTGTTTACCTACATAATTTGGTCTAATATACTATAAAAAATAGAGTAAATAAACTTTAAAAGATCAGAAATGCCTAAATAGTGTGAGTAAATATGTTAGAAAATGATACAATAAAGGTGCTGTTTGTTTGTCATTAGTCCGGATGTTCATCTGTTGTTTCTCTATACTTATACCATTGAAAAATCTGACACGTTTATTTCAAGTTATAGCGTGTTGTGTTTTTTTTTTTTTTAATTTGGTCAAGTATTATTGAAAGAGCAGTGAACGCAAAAAAAGGTTTTAGCTAAGCTAAGTAGGTATCTAGTGTATCTACCTAATTGAGTAAAAAGCTCAGTTCCTCCCATAAACAGGGATTACTGCGAAAGCAAGCAATATATTATAAAATAAATGTATAAATATACAAAAATAAATTCTATATTTCTGTTTTTAATAACAAAAGATCTATATACTATATACACAGTATACTTTTTCGATGCCAATACCAACAGCTCAAGATTTAAAACATTAAAAAATATACATTGTCCGCTAAAAATTAGCAATAAACATTTTAATGAGAATAACGAACAAAAAGCGAGATGGATTTTAGTTTTAATTGATAAAACGAAGGGTATTTGGGGCTCTGTTTTTGGC